CCTGACTTGATCCTCTGTGTGCTTTCTAAGCCAGACTTCTAAAAAGGGTGGTTTACACTCCCTGCCTCTGCGTCCTTTGCTTCCGATCCCCCCTCACCCGCTGCCATCTGGTTTCTGCTCCTTGCTGCTTCCCTACACCGGCCTTGCGAAAGGAACTGGCCAACTCCTGGTTGCCAAACACAGCACACTTTCCAGCAGTGTCACACTGCACTTCTCTCCACTCCGTGCCACTGCTAGCCTCGTTTTTTGCCCCTTTCTGCACTTAGCTGCTGGGACATCACCCTCTCTGCTGGTTCTTCCATCTCTTTGGCTCCTGTCTCGCCTCCCTTATAGGCTCATTTTCGATCTTCTTAATTTGGGAGTTCCTTAGGATTCTGTCTTCAATCCTTCTATCATTCTCTCTAAATTAGGTTCCACCAAAATTTCATCCATGGCCAAGAAGTCCTCAACCTTTATCCCCAGAAAAACGTTTACCTCTTGAGCATCGGATCTCTTTATCTATGTGTCTCTATGTTAGATACCTCCTCTTGCGTATCCTAAAGAGACTTAAAACATGACATGTCCAAAGCTGATCTGATCATCTTCCCTCCAAACCTGTGCCTTGTCCTGTGCTCCCCATTTGTGTGACACCACCTCCCACCCCAGGCTCATCCTAACCCTGACTCCCACCATCAATTTTTGGATTCTGCTCCCGTGATACCTCTCCAATCTAGCACTTCCTCTCTGGACCCCACCCTTCTACTCTCATCCTTTCCTGTATACTCTCCACGCTGCTGTCAAACATTTTTTTCCATTAACCAAGTCCGATGGTTTTACTGTTGTTCTAAATGCTTCAGTGACTCCCAGCTGCTTAAAGGTTAATATCTCAACTCCTTAACCAGGCAGACAAATCACTGATAATGTGGTTCTTATCTCCCTTTCAGCCTCGTCTTCCAACGCACCTTCATTAATACTGAATTTCGAGTATGACTTCCAAGGACTTCCTTGTTTCTGCTTGGAATCCCCGCATCCCTCTGCCTGGTGTGTCTTGGTGAATTTCTGCTTTGCTCCTGTTATTTCACCACTCCACTCATCACGCTGTACCACTTATGTTTGACTGTCTAACCCCTCGGAGATTTGAACTCAGTGAGGACATTATAAGCACCTAGCAGGATCAAGAAGTTAAGTGCAGAGAGGCAAAACAGTACACCCAAGCTTCATGCACAAACTGGAAACCAGTTTTTCTATGTTGGTGAGCTGGAAACTGAGAATGAACCGTGTTGCAATTTATGTCTGTGGGTTCCTTAGTAGTTCTTCAATAATGCATTCCTCACGGAAGGAACCTCGGAAGTCTCAGATATTGGCCCTCATAGACTGATGAGATCTCTCACTGGTCCCCTCTCCAAGGTGCTTTCCACATTGCACACCAGTAATCTTTTCAAACCGCACAATGATCATCTCTCACGCCATATCACACACACCACATCCTGCTTAAAGCCCTTCATGGTTGCGTATTACTCTGCAGTTACAACAAAACAAAAAACACCTCTTAACATGATCCACACTATCTGGCCATTTCTTCAACTCCTATCCCATATTGTTCCACTATCCGTGTTGCAGCCATACTGGTCCTTTTCTGGGTTCCTTGTACTTGCCTACCCAGCCCCACGGCAGGGCCTTTGCATGTGCTTCTCTGTCTGGATAATTCTTTCCATTCTTCTTCCCCTGGTCCATTCATTCTCACCCCCAGTCCTCAGCCCTAGTGCTGCTTGCTAAGGGTAATGTTCTCCTCTTCTGAAGATCAAATCCCCTGTGTATCTCCCTTCCATTGTATTTGCCACATTCCATTTTTGGTACTTAGTAATGTGATGGTTCAATGTCCACCTCCCTAGGGCTGGAACCACATCCCTCATGTTCTCTCCTGCATCCCATGATCCACATAGAGCCTGGCATAAAGGAGGAGCTCAATGAATACTTGAATGAATCCGCGAGTGAGTGAGTGAGTGAAGATCAAGAATAACAGGATTGGGCTTCCCTGGTGGCGCAGTGGTTGAGAGTCCACCTGCCGATGCGGGGGACACGGGTTCGTGCCCTGGTCCGGGAAGATCCCACATGCCGCGGAGCGGCTGGGCCCGTGAGCCATGGCCGTTGAGCCTGAGCGTCCGGAGCCTGTGCTCCGCAATGGGAGAAGCCACAACAGTGAGAGGCCTACGTACCACAAAAAAAAAAAAAAAAAAAGAATAACAGGATTTATGTCATGGAGTGTTCTGCCTATGTTTTCCTCTAAGAGTTTAATAGTGTCTGGCCTTACATTTAGGTCTTTAATCCATTTTGAGTTTATTTTGTGTATGGTGTTAGGGAGTGTTCTAATTTCATTCTTTTACATGTAGCTGTCCATTTTCCCAGCACCACTTATTGAAGACTGTGAAGGCTGTCTTTTCTCCACTGAATATTCTTGCCTCCTTTATCAAAGATAAGGTGACCATATGTGCATCACAGCAAGATCCTTTTTGACCCACCTTCTAGAGAAATGGAAATAAGGAAATGGGACCTAATGAAACTTAAAAGCTTTTGCACAGCAAAGGAAACCATAAACAAGACAACCCTCAGAATGGGAGAAAATATTTGCAAATGAAGCAACTGACAAAGGATTAATCTCCAAAATTTACAAGCAGCTCATGCAGCTCAGTATCAAAAATACAAACAACCCAATCCAAAAATGGACAGAAGAACTAAATAGACATTTCTCCAAAGTAGATATACAGATTGCCAACAAACACATGAAAGAATGCTCAACATCATTAATCATTAGAGAAATGCAAATCAAAACTACAATGAGGTATCACCTCACACTGGTCAGAATGGCCATCATCAAAAAATCTACAAACAATAAATGCTAGAGAGGGTGTGGAGAAAAGGGAACCCTCTTGCACTGTTGGTGGGAATGTAAATTGATACAGCCGCTATGGAAAACAGTATGGAGTTTCCTTAAAAAACTAAAAATAGAACTACCATACGACCCAGCAATCCCACTACTGGGCATATACCCTGAGAAAAGCATAATTCAAAAAGAGTCATGTACCACAATGTTCATTGCAGCTCTATTTACAATAGCCAGGACATGGAAGCAACTTAAGTGTCCATCAACAGATGAATGGATAAAGAAGATGTGGCACATATATACAATGGAACATTACTCAACCATAAAAAGAAACCAAATTGAGTTATTTGTAGTGAGGTGGATGGACCTAGAGTCTGTCATACAGAGTGAAGTAACTCAGAAAGAGAAAAACAAATACCATATGCTAACATATATATATGGAATCTAAAGAAAAAAATGGTTCTAAAGAACCTAAGGGCAGGACGTAGAGAATGGACTTGAGGACGCGCAGATGTAGAGAATGGACTTGAGGACGCGAGGAGTGGGAAGGGTAAGCTGGGAAGAAGTGAGAGGGTGGCATGGACATATATACACTACCAAATGTAAAATAGGAGCTAGTGGGAAGCAGCCGCATAGCACAGGGAGATCAGCTCGGTGCTTTGTGACCACCTAGAGGGGTGGGATAGGGAGGGTGGGAGGGAGGGAGATGCAAGAGGGAAGAGATATGGGAACATATGTATATGTATAACTGATTCACTTTGTTATAAAGCAGAAACTAACACATCATTGTGAAGCAATTATACTCCAAAAAAGATGTTAAATGGGGGGGAAAAAAAAAGAATAACAGGAGTTTTCCCTGCTGCTTTTACCCTCACGGCTACTCTGTATTTGCATATGTACCTTAACAAATTTTCAAAATATTTCCAGATAAGCGATCTAATTTGATATTAACAATTGACTCGAAGAGTAGAAATGGTAACCCATGCAGGTGACTTGTCCAATGTTACACGGCTAGTAAGCAAAACAGTGGGACCAGAACCAAGCTTTGTCACTTTTCAGACCAGGGCCATTAAACAACCAAAATGACCATTTCTGGCCATTAAACAACCAAAAAGGAAGCAAAAGAAGATAACGTACAACTTAATAGGCAGTATCTACACAAAAGGCAATAAAATAGAGATATCCAAATAAAAATACAAAATAAGATTTATTTTAGGCTGATAGAACTTTGGTTCATGGAACACGGGCACAAGTTCTCTAAATGCTGGCATTTTAGCCTAGAAGGTTTGGGCTCTGACATAGAGCAAGTCACCTATAATTCTGGTACAACAGGACTCAGTTAATACTCTATCATAATTCTCATTAAAATTTAGATGTTCAATAAATGTCGGCTATTAAATCATTAGTGGGAAAGTCTATTTCTGGAAACCTTTTCATCCTTTCCTTAATGAGACTATTTATTTATTTAATTTTGTAAGGAAATGAGAGAAAAGTTAATCACCTAGCAGGTTGAGTACGTAGCTGGGTCCAGTTGTTTCAAAGAGCAGCCGCTAACTAAGGCTACTTATTCATTTAGCTAACATTTTGAAAAGACCTACTATTTAAACACAACTTCTAGATGTGTTTACATTTTCTTTACTAAATTTTTTAATGACTTAATAATTGAGTGCCTTTATAATATTACGCGAATACACGCTTTTAAGTTCAGATGTTATTTACCTAACAAAATGGACAATTTTACGTAAATATTAATTTACATGAAAAGTTAATCAAGTATTTACGGAGTGTTGATCATACTGAAAGCTCCGTGCCTTTCCTGGGGCTTATATCAGAGCACTTCTAGTCTCCATATATTATATATATATATAAATTTTTATTGAAATAAAGTTGATTACTCCACTTATATTTAAACTCATTTTGCTTTGAGTTTAGTCTACCGGGTAGCACTTTCTTTTGGGGGGCAGGGGACTGGGTAAAGGGGGAGAAAGGTGTAAAAATACAAACTAGACGTGCAAAAATTCGTGTACAGGGATCTGCAGTTCGCTATCACCTAACGAAGAGAGGATTGGGTAACAGCTTAAAGTCCACAGAAAGTTTCACTCGTCTGATGGAATGTATGCAACTGTTAACAATTTCCTACCTTTGCCCACATTTCCAGTGAACAAACGTTATCTTTGCAATCAGGAAAATACAAGAAGCGAAAAAAGCCGGAGAAAGTCGCACTTCGCTTGTCCCACGGGGTCCCTCCCGAGCTAGGGGCTTGTTTGCCGGCTCCGACCAGTTCCCAGCGCCGGCAAACGTGCCCTCGCCCGGGACTTCGGAGGCAGGCCGCCTGGCGCCGCTCGCTGGGCTGGTCGCGGCGCGGCCGCTGGCTGGTGATTCGCTGCGCCAGGAGCGGGGAGCCCCAGGAGGCAGATCCCTACGCGCCAGACCCACGCGCGGGGCACTAGTACTGCGCGCCTGCGCGCCCGCGCGCCCGGTCACGTGATGGGCGCTCCACGCAAAGCGGGTTAAAAGTCATGACCTCGGAGCGCCCGCGAGCGGCCGGCCAGTCGGCGCGGCGCTCCCTGCGTTCCCTAAACCGGTTCTAAAGGAGGCCGCCCGTCTGTCCTCGACCACCTCCCGCCCCCTTGACCCGGCTCAGCTCAAAGCAACGCGCGGAGTCGCCTAGCGCCCCTCCTGGCCGCCAATACAGGCGCGAGAAACTGCGTCTTTCAACTGACAATGAAACAGTAACCGCGCAGCCAGGCCGCTCCGGGCGAACAAGCGCGAGGCCGGGAGGGGGAGGGGAGAACGGTGGGGCCAAGCCCCGCCCCAGCTCGCGCCCCCATTGGCCGGCACCGCGGTTCTGGGCCCGCCCCCTAACGGACCTGTCGCATTGTGACAGGCGTAGGGGCCAGTTCCTGTTGGGTCGGGGGCGGAGTCAGAGGTAGCCTGAGCTCCGCCCGGACTCCGGGGGACTCCTCCTCCTGCTCCTCACGGCGGGGCGGGCGGCGGGTGTGGGGGGAATGTCATTGCTGCTCCGAGCCGTGGTACCGCCTCCGTCTGCTCCTGCTCTTTCTCTGGCGCCCTCGTCCCGTCGGCTTTCGCCGCTGCCGCAACTGCACTGGGAAGACGGATGGCTAGAGGGGCGCAGGGGCCATCCGAGTTGAGAGAGCGGCGGTCGCGGCCGCTGCTGAGGCGGAGACTCCCCGCCGCCGCCTCCACCCCCCGTCCCCCGGCCTCGCGGCGCTAAGGGCAGGCGCGCGCGGCTCTCTTCCCTCCTCCTCCTCTTTCTTCTTCCTCCTCCTCCTCCTCCTCCTCCGGGTCCCCGCCCAGCACCCCTCGGACCAGGAGGCGGCGGCGGCGGCGGCGGCGCGGAGCGAGACCCGCCGCCGGGGCACAACATGGCGGAGCCCTTGGCCCCGGAGAGCAAGCACAAGTCGTCCCTCAACTCATCCCCGTGGAGCGGCCTCATGGCCCTGGGGAACAGCCGGCACGGCCACCACGGGCCCGGAGCCCAGTGCGCGCACAAGGCGGCGGGCGGCGCGGCACCGAAGCCGGCCCCCGCAGGGCTGTCCGGGGGGCTGTCGCAGCCGGCCGGCTGGCAGTCGCTGCTCTCCTTCACCATCCTCTTCCTGGCCTGGCTCGCTGGCTTCAGCTCGCGCCTCTTCGCCGTCATCCGCTTCGAAAGCATCATCCACGAGTTCGACCCGTGGTAAGTGCCCGCTGCCCCTCCCCCGCCGTGGGCCCGGGACCGGGACCGGCGCCTCCCTCCCCCCCCACCCCCCGCGCTCTGCCCGGACCCGCCACTGGTCCCGAGCTCGGGCGCGCCCCCGCCTGCAAGCGAAGTTCCCCCGCGCCGCTCGAGGCGGGGCGTCGGGGCCCAAGCGGGACCTTGACTCGGGTCGGGCGAGTCTGCAGACTCCCAGGAGGGCGAACGCTTTCCTTCGTAGCCGCCTCGGCCCGCGGAGCCCGACCCGCCGCGCCGGGCGGCGGACTACCCGCCTCCCCGCCCGCGGCTCTCGCCTGCTCTCAGTTTCTCGCGCGCGTTTTCGGCCGGTTGGGATGGGCTCGCCCAGGGGGTGCCCTGTTGCAGTTGGAGGTGAGTCCAGATGTGCAGGAGTCTCGTCGGCGCAGCCTCGCGGTTGCACGCTTTTATCGTGTTTCTCTTGGCTCTCAGACGGGAAGGGAAAAAAGCGAGGGAGTGAGGTGTTGGAGGAAAGGAAATAAGAACCCTAAAAGTGATCTGAAAGCTAGGGACGCTTATTTAATGTTAGATATTTTCAAGAGTGGCTTTATTTTCAAGCCTTTAAGTGCACTCTGCACCTCACCGGTCCACAATTATCTTGGGCTACTTTTTAGAGCAGGCTCATTACTCTGTGAGCCAAACTGTCACCCTCAGTATGTTATGCACAATATCTGAAAGCGTTGCATTAGTTCCTTCATTGGTCTTTGCAGGAAGGTTTGTGGATTAGAGAACAAACAGTACCATAGTGATGGGGAGCCCTGGATTGTAATACTGAAGTTTCACATGGTATCAGGGACTGACCTGAATGTTTTAGGAAATTACCACATAAAGAGCACTAGCTAATTTAGCTAACTTAATTCACTGGTCTGTGAATTGTTTAGATAGGAAGAGTGCTTTATTTTTTTTTCCAACTTGACCAACCTGGGTTAAGTTTTCTTTGTTTTTTGTTTTAGCCCTAGTCTATGCCTTTTAAGCTGACTTAATTCATCTTCTTGACCCATCACCCTTGAGTTCATCTTACTTCCTTATAATTAGGCCCAACTAAACTTGAGGGTATTTGTCATTGGAAGTACAGAGAGAGAATCTTCTTGAGAGTTACTAAATATATGGATAATAAATATTTGGGGGAGTGAGTTACCCATATGTTAAAATACCAATTGAAGTTCTGTTACAGATAGAAAAATTGGTAGTGCATCATCTGTTGAACACCAGAGGGGTCCACTTCTGGAGAATCCAATTTAGGTAGACAGTTAACAGCTGTGACATGCTTCCATGAAACGTTTCCTTTCCATTTTAGAGGTTTGATTTTTTTTTAAAAAACAACTTCTGTGTTACTTGGAATCACACAAGAAAATAAATTACTGTGACGCTTATGAACTAGACAGAGTTTTCTTAGTCTTAGCTTTGAAACACATAAGCAAATTAGATAAAAATGAAATTGAAACCAGAAAATGAAAACTGCTAATGTTTTGCTGAACATGTAAAAAGAGAAAGTTGTGTTTTTTCAGTTTACAAGAGCAGAAGTGCATGGTTGACCAAACATTATGGGTAACAAAAATTGTGAATAATATTTCTGGAGAGTATCATTTTTATAAACAGAAGGCTGCATAATGTTTAGTAGTAACATTGAGGCTTAAATTAAGGATTGCAGAAAAATTCACAACTGAATGATGAGATGATTGATATTTTTCCTAATTTTGAAGGAAGATTAGAAATCTGCATCAGGTGAGCCAAAGAGTTTCTACTAAAATTGAGTATTATAATCATGAAAAGTCTTATCGGGTCGCTTCACAGATAAGTTTTTTTTTTCAATATGGCAAAAAAATTAAAAGTTGATTTCTTCTCTAGTTTCAAGAATATGCTTGGAGGGCATAACCCTTTTTTACTCACACAAAAATTTGTTTGTATCTTTCTGTGTATAAAACACATTTCAGAAACATTCTTTAGTAGAACGAATAACATTCTACATTCGAATTTTAATTCATATACTGTAAAGGTATATAAACCTCTTCAGTCTTAAAGACCTACTTAATGTAGGCTTTCGGCTTGTATTTATGTGTTTATGTTCATAATGTTAGGTAGTTCTGACTAGTAGTAAATAGCCTTTTATAAAAATGAATTGTCCCTATCCTTTATTGTGAATGGAGATTTGCCAGTATAAATCTAATGTCTTAAGTATAATTCAGGTGACTTAATGAGAGAATTTTCAGTCAAAAAAAAAAAAATCCCGTGTTTGCTCACTTATGTTTTTCTTTTCATGTCTTTCAAAGATCTCAGTTAGGCCTCTTATTTTTATAATCCATTCCTGTTGAAAAATTTGAATTTTAAAAGTGGTTTTCCTTCAAAGCTACTAATAGTACCAGCACTTTGATTCTACAAGCATTCTAGTGTTATACTATCTTGGGAGTCTCTCAGATTACTGTTTTAACATGTAGTAGTAACATGAACCTTTAATAATGTTTAAATGTTCCTCTCAGGTTGTGTATCCACAAACCAATTTATTCTGGCTTTCCCTGATCCCTTTTTCTCATATCTCTGTACTGGCTTCACTTCTGAAATCTTTTTAGTGAAAAGTTTACTTTCTCTGTTTGATTGTGAGTTATTTCTGTAAATTTTAACTAGTACTTAAATTGCGTAAGACTCTAGTTAGCTGCCAAAGGTGACTCATTGTCACAAAGTTATACTTGTTTTTTAAGTTTGTCATTCAAGTTATTTTATAAAAATCTTACCAGTTGTTATAAGGGTTGGTATGTGATGTTCAACAGTATTTATTGAATTTTAAAGTACACTGCACTTTTTTAGAACTTCGTCGCATTTTTGGTAATGATCTCCACCACTTCACTTTAGTGATTTCCTCCCTTATCAGTTGACTTGATCAGACATGAGGACACAGTTTGAGAATTTGTTGTCTGTACTTGGCAAACATTTGGTTGACCAACTAGTTTAACAGCACCTAATTTTATCTTCTTTTTATCTGGAGCAGAATGTAGTTCCTACTTATTTTTGATGTAACTATTAATACTTTCATATTAACCAGGTGCTTTTCCCATAACCATTATCTTGTTAAATTGTGGTAGCTTTTCCCACAGAGACGATGGAAAAGCTCCCTATAAAAGAGTTGCATTTTTCCCTGCCTGCACAGGTTGTAGGGGGTTCTCCTTGGAGCCCTAGAAGGAGACTTCTCTGAGCTTTGAGTTCTGGCTGCAGTTAGCTGTAAAAGGGCAGCAGATGCCTTTTTGCAGGGCAGAAAGCTGCAATTTAGAATTGAAAATTGGGATGCATTTTTTCATAGAAACTATGGTATAAATAGGTTAATTAGTACAAACATGTTTTCAAAGGAGTGATAAACCTTTGGAACATAAGCTGTTTGTAAGTTGGGGACTACTTCCTGTACTTTGAGGTCTCCATGTTTTTCTTCACTTTGCAGATGACAAAAAGAGGCTATTGACCTCAGTTCTGAAGAAGACAAAATGGGTAACAAAACAAATTTTAGATCAGAAACATCCCTAAATCTAAAGGCACTTTATGGAATCATTAGCAACAGCAGTACAAATGCACTTCAGAATAGGTACAGTAAGTCCCTACATACGAACCTTCAAGTTGGGAATGTGCCCCTGTATGCCAGCTGTTGTACTGTACTACTGTACTTTTCAAGGTACTGTCCTGTAAGATTAAAAATGTTTTCTTTATTTTTTGTGTTTGTTTTTTATGTATTATTTGTGTGAAAAGTATTATAAACCTATTACAGTACAGTACTATGTAGCTGATTGTGTTAGCTGGGTACCTAGGCTAACTTTGTTGGACTTAGGAACAAATTAGACTTACGTGCTCTTGGAGGAACTAACTTGTTTGTTCATATGTAGGGGACTTACTGTATACTGTCACTGATTTCATTGTAATTTAAAACTTTTCTAGCCTTGAGCTCTTGAGATCATTCTATGTTGTAGGAACACTCAGGGAGGAGGTGAAAGGAGTGCCTTGAGCTGCTGGGTTGGATGATGGGATTGGACCTCCTCCCATTGGGTGAGTGTGGTGGCTCCTATAGGTAGTAATCCTGGGTTTCCTGAGGCATGTCCTGGGGGAGTTAGGCTCTGTCAGCAACCACTTTGGAACTTTTTCTTGCTTTAGAGTATTCATACGTTGAGGGCTAACTTGAATAATACTGCACACCACATACTGCCATGAGTAGTTTGCATAAAGACAACATTGGTCGTAGAAACTTAGAATAAGGATTGCATCATAGGCTCTGACACAGTTATTATGAATATGAGGAAACTTACTAGTCTGCCTATGATCTGTCTCTGATTTTTATGCTCTCAATAAGTTTTGGGTGCTTTGGGGTATGAGAGAAAATGTTAAAAGTTCTCTTCATTGTGATGTCTTATTAATCAGTGCATATGTGCTCTCAGAAATAACGGAAAGATTAATATTCTCCAGTGACTGAATCATATTTTTTTCCTCAATTTGTTTACATTGCAAACTTAGTGCTATTAGAGAAAGACAATATTGCAGTTAACTTGAATTATAAAGCACCTTACAATTCAGCAGACCTGTATAATGCTAATTGTTATGAAAATTTTCAAGCATACAAAAAAGTTGAAAGATTTTTACAATGAACACTCATACTGAACATGTAGATTCTACGGTTAGTATTTACT